AATACAAAATCTATAAATAAAAACTCCTAAAAGTCCAAATCAATAAAATACAATACAAAAGTAATTTTTACAATGTGTAAACTGTACTATGTACAAAAAAATGCACTAAAACCTTGTTACTGACATTCTTTATAGTGCATAAAGTGCAGTGGGAATTATAATATATACACATATTTTTAGCAGGTGTTTATCCTATGTCTGATTGCTCTGTCCTACACCATGGCTATAACAATCTGCTGCTGAAGGAGGTGCTCAGGGCCTCCCCACAGTCTCATGCAGGGATGAGAGGTGTTGTCCATAATGGACATTAGGTTGGCTAAACTTCATTCCCCCTTCCTCCTCTGCGGTCTAGTCTAGGGGACAGGCCAGGACAGAGCTGGCCCTCTTCAGTCTACAAGTTCTTTCCTGCCCTTCTCTGTGCTGCCACCTCCCAGCAGACCACTGCATAAAAGACTGCAGAAGCCATCGCAGTGTTATCAAAGGTCCCCAGAAGACCGAGAGGCCTGGTCTTTTGGGTTGGATGAGAGTTGACACGTCTTCACAAAACTCTGTGGACTGTTTTTCTGTGGTATTACATACCTGAGGTTAATCATCCAAAACAACTACACAAGAGAAAAGAAGTCCAGTTGCCTTCTTTTTTCAAGCTCTTGAGATTTTGTACACTACGATTTTTACGCGGACAAACAAAAGCACTGCAATATATCCCAAAAGTGCCACAACATCCAGCCAAACACATTCGATACAGTGGAAACAGCTGACAGCACAGCTGGCGTCTGAGACCAAGGAGTTTTGTTGCTTCAGGGAGTGACCACAGAGGAGACGCATCCAACTTTCCCCAAAGTAGAACCAACCCATCTGGAGGCTTCTTCCACTGAACAGCTTGACAGAAATAAAATGTGCGTTATCCAAGCCATCGCACTGTTCAAAAACACATATTTAGACCTACATGAGCCCAACTCACAAAAAAGGAACAGAATGTCAATTTATTGTATTTTTTTTTTTTTAACTCCTGAACAATGATCTATATTGTGCTTTGACAGCACCATACACAATATTATGGATGGCTAATAAAGATTTTGGAGGCAGAACAATATTACAATCATTTAAAGTTGCAGTCCTAACATTTATTAAAAATGGGACAATCGGAAAGGTTTAAACCACCGTTAGTTTCAAACCGGCTGTGACAATTTCTCAGCCAGAAAGTCGAACACCACCAAAATAAAACGGGCAGCTGGAAGTTTCATTTTTATCCCTCTGACAGTTGTCACGCTTACGCAACACTCTAAAGTACATTAACATTAAGTGGTATTAGGCAAAGAATAACCATGAGTAATTTATAATCCTTTAAATCCTGTCTCGAGGAAAACACGGAGTAGGTCTCGTAATACTTCTTGTGCTCTTATTGTTGATTTTGAGAGGACATTGTCATCATTCTAATTGACACCTCTCCTGGCTAGTTTGACTCAGCAATCCAAGTAAGCATATATATCATGGAAGCAACCTTAGGTGTGTGACTTCATTGCATAATATTTCAGGTCAGGCTAATATCATCGTCCTACATCATGTTCTATAGGAGCTGGAAAAGGCAGTGACAAGGCCCTGGGGCCGAGCTGTCTTATTTACTGATGGAAGTGGGTCTACTGGAGCAACCAACTAAAACCTATTTACTTTTCTATCACGCAGACACAGGGACGGATAGAGAAAGAGAGAAACATGTAGAAAGACCAACTCTAAGAGGTGATCTGACAATTAATATTCACACAGCAGCTTCCTCCCTAGCCCTACGTTTACGTTTGATAAATTTCAGTAATGAAACTGTAGATGAAATTTACACAAAGCTGATTGAATTTCCTCATTAAACATAAGAAGGCAATCATTAAAAATTAGCTTGGAATCTTCCTGACTGTGTACTGAAAAAGACTTTGAGGGGTTTTTGAGGCAAAAACTCAAAGTGGCATAATCTAAAATTAAAAACACTGTCTTACGGGGCCGAGTCTACATTTGATATGCTACGATTTATATTTCCGGCCAAATATTGAAATAAGAGCCAATCTCTGGTTGTCTTTTTTGCTAACAGAACAGAAAAGAACAGAAAATTTTCTGAAGTTCTGCTTAGCAGGAGCAAGAAAACCTCACTTTCTTTGTTTTTTATACTCTGCATAAAACTGTGTGCAGGAAAAAAGCGAACTAACCACAGCTCCTGTAACTGTAATGCAACAGAACAAAACAGTTGTGGACAAGTGGTGCAGTAATATTCACAACTGTACCAGGTTTTTATCTCATTCAGAAATAGCACTCGTTGGCCAAAATATCATTCCTGAGGAAGTACAACTTATTTTATTTAAAACAAATAGGAAATTACAATTACAATTACAAAAAACCCCTCTCACTGTCTCACATTTTTAACAGTGGAATAATTCCTCAATATATTATGAAACCAGCTGACCTTCCAGAGGCAACCCAGCAGCCATTAAACTACCTCAGGCACTTATTCTAGGTTAAGTTGAATTTATTTCAATTGTCGTCAGGGTTTGAAAACTGCATGTATAGAATCCGTCGATGAAAACTTCTTCAAAAGTTTGCTGGGTGTCCCCCAAAATAAGGTTTTAAAAAGTTTTGTTTTTTAAATCCACCTTCACATGAAGTTAGACTTCTCCCTCCATCTCCGCTGCAAAATCCTCCCATAGATTCCAGGTCAGGAATCTTTGAGCGCCATGTCGTCTCCTTATGTAATCTCTCTGGTTAGTCTCAGCTCAGCAGAGTATATTAGCATCTTTTGCTCCTAGCTTTGATTTTTAAAGCCAATATTAAGGGAAAATAACCTCAAAATATATAGAGGAAAAGGAGTACTAAATGCACGCAATAGCTTTGCCGTGTCCTACTTATGTACCGGATCCACATAACATAGTCCGCTTTATATACCAACAACTGGAAATATTGCCCCAAAACAGATAGATCTGACGGGAGGGGATACAGGTTGATTGTTAAAGCTTTACACCACCCTAGGAACGAAGAGGGCAAACTGACAAACACCCACTAGATGTTAAATCTACACGTCACTGTTGTATTTACAGCTTTTACAGCTGCTTCTGAGTGAAAAAATAATTAATTTATATCAGTTTAAACAACACTTCAATTATTCAGTTTCCTTCCACTCAGCTGACAGACCCATTTAACATTCATTCTTTTCTTAATTACAGGGAGTTTACTTGAAATTATCAAGGGAATTAAAAATGAAAAGCCTTCACTGCACCGTGACATTAGAGGGCAACTTTTAAAGAAAAAAAATGCAAGAGTGCAGGAAAACTTCAAACCAGATCAAGCTACAGAGTATCGTGGCGTCAACCTTATCAGCAGAAGAAGCCCAGCTACCTTTGTCACACGGGGCTGTCATCTTATCAAAAGCTCACAATACAGACCCACACTAAACCGTCATACACCACCTACATATGCACAGCTAAAGGACTCCAAACCAACACCCTGGGGTTATTAGGACAAACGAGAGAAATATCTTAAATTAAAAACACACACGTTCCCGTTTATTCAATCGGTCGCAATTAATTAAAGTTATCGTGGCGCATACAGACACAGCTCACACAAACACCTGCAGAAATGATGTATGCTTCACTTCCATTTAATAACATTAACATTAGTAAAGCTGTTACAGTTCAAATTTTAATTGTATGACTATCATGGCTAAAAGAATATACAGTATAGATAATGACCATTTTTATTGAAAGATTACAATGAAGAATTTTTTTTTTAAAGTGGTATCAATCAAGAGAAGAGAGCTGTGATGAACTTAGTAGTGAGGATGTAACTATAACTGTGTTGCCACTGGATTGTTTGCAATATTATCATATCCCTATTTTTAAATGTGTTATCACCAGTAGCAGTATCCGGTCATTAAGGGGTGACATGACGAATCCTACTTCCGGGCGTAAAGTAGTCTGCGTTTAATATGGCTTTTGTGTTGTTAACATGTTTAATGTTTTGTATTTTCTTCTATTTAATCTCAAAAAGCTCCTAAAACAGTCAGTGATCACTGTTGACC